ACATCAGTAAAGGGCACCCGCAATTAATTTTATATTCTAAAACTAAGGCCTTAAAAGTATTAAATTTAACTTACAAAGGTGTTAAAAAATGTTCTTGTCCTTTCATAGGATTAAATAAATGCCGTAACATCATAAATTAAAAAAGAATTGTGTGTGTGACTTTACAATTTACTCCGTTTGGTTTGACCATAGACTTGGATGTTATACGGCAGTACATGTAACGTTACTGTTTACGTCAGTGTTCAGCTTTACGCTCTGGACTTTGGAGTGTTCGCAGTGCACAAGCTCTGGCATCCCAGCTCTGTGCGTATCAGTCAGTTGTTGGGAAAGAAAGCAAAACGTCTCTGACGTGCTACTAACAAGCTAACGTTGGCTCGTCAACTCAGAATAGGCAAATGTATATAAAGTTCAGAAGGCCAGAGATAAGGACAACTTGGCGGACAAGGCTGAGGACAGTGGCACTGAGGTTAGCACAACAAGCAGATGGGTGCACACTATGGCGAGCGCTAATGAAACGGCAGAGCTGGAAGACCCTCTGCTGGACAGCAACGGAGACAGTTGTGTTTGCGATGAGGACCATGTCTGTGTGTCAGCGTTGTGCCACTGTTGTAGGGTAATGTTATGTGAATGGAAACACCCAGCATGCTAACACATATTAAACTTGAATCACCCAGATGGGCCAATCACTGGGACGAGGAAAAAAACAAAGTGGAGCGAACTCCTTATCCCCGCTGCTTTCAAGCCAATACTATATAAATCTATATTTCAAGCAGCCTTTTGATGCAAAAACAGAACAGGATGAATAATCACTGAAGCAATTGGCATTTACATTGGCATGTTATATTATATTACATATCTTATTTAGCCAAGGTGTAACTAAGTGTAACAACTCATATTGCACAATTTATTTTGTATTTTTGGTTTCACACCATTAGAGTTCTTAGTGTGACAAATATTGTATTAATTTTATGTTATCAGTGTACAAACACACCCCAAAAAGCTATTGTGCATTAAATATGAATGTGAGTATTATAAAAAAATGTTTTATTACATTCAGGTAACTTCGTAAATAATGATTTTCTCTGGCTTAAAATTCATACAGATTTCCATTATATGGCAATAACTTTCATCCTAGGTGGTATTAAAAAGGTCCTAGAAAGTCTTAAATTTTACACCATCATCAAAAAGGCCCAGCAAAGACTGTACTTCCCCCAGCAACTGAGGAAGCTCAGACAGTCTCACCACAAACAGACTGGAGCAGATTGTCACTAAAGCAACATAATCAGTTGTGACCTCCCTCCAGTGAACTCACTGTATATATAGTGCACCTTTAACTGGGCAGCTAAAATAACCAAGGACTTATCCCACACAGTCCATCACCTCGAGTGGCGCCCCACAAAATTTTCCAAGTAGTGACCAGATGGGGCCAAAAAGCCATAACTGAATTGCAGGAATTCTATTATGCAGTATATAGACTAGTTGAAAACTAATCACAGACTGATATACTTTGGTTTCTTATTTTACTGTTAAAGTAAAGTCTCTAATGTCCATAGACTAAAACCAGTTAACATTTGAGTTCCATAAAAATCCTGTATTCATATTACATAATAATATTTAATTGAAATATACAAAATGTGTCTGTATAGAGTTGTGCAATTATTTATTAACCATACTATTTCATTAGCTTGGTGGCAAATGAGCCAACAGGGCCATAAGCAAACAGCAGTGAGCTCAACACCACTGAAGTCAACAACGACCGCAGGGATCCAGACCCTTTCTATAGTCGCTTTCCACAGAGATCCTGCAATCAAAACAGAAAGAATGTCCGCCAAAATATATCCCATTCCCAACTCTGTACCTTTAATACAGGGTAGCAAGCCGGCATTTTTGCTAATAATCCTGGATGATAAAGCAGTATGAAAGCGGCTATATAACAACATCATGACAACAACAGCACGGACACATTGAAACTCATCACCATCCATAGCCTAGAATCCATCGATCCAGCACAAGAGAGACAAGCTGACAGAGTCAGGATGATTAAAGATGCTTCCACTCACCACAGCTGTGATGAAGGCTCAGGGGATAGAGCGGGTTGGCTGTTAATCAGAAGGTCGGCGGTTCAATCCCCGGCTCCCCCTGATTGCGTGTCGAAGTGTCCTTGGGCAAGATACTGTAGTGTGTGAATGTTAGTTTCGGTTTGAGCACTTAGGCTCAGTATGTGGATGTAGTGTAAAAGCGCTTTGAGTGGTCGAAAAGACTAGAAAGGTGTCAGTCGACATTTTTAACTAATCAATTTTAGAAACGTGATTGCCATCTAAATGGATGAATCAGAGGCCTTTCTCAAAACAAAAAACATAGTCACACCTCAGGGTCAGAGGTTACCCTCTTAAAGAGACAGAGATTAAAATGACAACGCTCATCTGCTGCTATTCACCTTTTAACTCAAATATATACAGTATAGCATTTTATTTAAGGTAGGTTGCAGTAACTCGCACACTGTGCTCATAAATATTTCTTCATATTTGCATTTATTAACTTTTATCGGCATATGTGAGCAAAATATCGCAGCTCTTTCCTTCAGCAGTCAGAAGTATTAACATCAGCGCTAAACCCCCCAAAACATCCCATACTGAGCTGAATGCACTGAAAGCACTGAACTGAACTCAGATTGGACTTGCTTGCTCTGTTAAATCAATCATCGAACTGAAGAGTTTGATACCACAAATGGCGACCTGTCCAGGGTGTACCCCGCCTTTCGCCCGATGTCAGCTGGGATTGGCTCCAGCCCCCCGCGACCCTACGCAGGATAAGCGGTTGACGACGGATGGATGGATGAAATATTCACTGTAAATGATATGCTCACATTCAAGTGTTTTCTTTGTGTATGTTTTGTTGTAATGGTTTATGGTGTCTGAGTCTGGTTCTTCTGTCTTCGTTCTGTGCTGGAACTGAGCTACCATGCTGTACCAAAACAATTACAACTGAAACTGTGAGGCAATACAGTATCTATATCTATATCCATAGCCCCTCAAAAAAGCAGCTTCCTGTTTCATAGTGAATAATTCCTTGCTACTGCAATTGCGTTTTAAAAAAACTCACAAGCTTCACAACATCAATACGGATGTAATCAGTCTGCTAGGAGGAACACATTAAAGTTTGAAACTTGTCAATTCTTGGCACCAGTAGGTGGCGCTATGAGTGGATACTGGCATGTAGATATCTTGCTGCAAAGGGGGGACAAACTCCATATTAATTCCTATGGATTTAGAATGTGATGTTATAAAAGTAATGTGTAGGTGTCCCTGTACTTTTGTCCATATAATGTATATTTCTGACCTATTCAGCCCCTGCAAACAGGGACACACACACAGGTCAGCAGAAATAGCTCTTCCTTGAACTGCATCAAAGGGTGTCAGAGCATTTGCTGCCATGGCACCTAAATTATGGTATGACAAAACATTCTACTCTACTTCTGTATTTCCATTAAGTCAGCTAATAACAAACCCTTTAAAACTTTTTAAAAGTGTTATTTTATATATATTATCCCATTTTGTTTAATGCCTTTTGTTCAGGCACTATGTAATCACATTTTTTTCTGTTTGTATGTTGCTATGAAAAGTGCTCCTCAAATAAAGTAATTATTAATATCTTCACTGATCTGTGACACAGATTACAGCTTCATAATTAGCGGGCCAACAGGTTCACCGGGTTCAGCCACTAATCTCAGCGCTAATTAATATTTAGCTTGTGCACACATCAAAACAATTAGTGCGGAACAATAATGAGAGGAGTGATGGAATTCAAGAAGGGAGGGGGACAACAAATGGTGCGTGTACAGGAGAAGGCTTGAATAAATGAGAAGACGGCAGCTCTAACATGCTTACAGAGCTTCAGTGCAGCAGAGGCACTGAGAGGCAGAGAGACAAGTGCGTGTGACCAAAGATAGAGGGGTCCAACCTGGTAGAAGATGATAGGATGAGACACTGAGGGAGGGAGGGGGGAGATAAGAATGTGGAGGAATTTGGTGGAATTACATGAGAAGAATCGTGACTGTTCATCTGAAATCAAAAAAAAACGTGAGGCCGGGATGCGACGGTGCTAAAACGGAACAGAGTGATCCCTCTCCCTCTCTCCTATGCCTGTCTGTCTCGGTGCCTATATTCCCCCTCTTCGCCCTGTTTTCCTCTTTTTCTCTCTTGGCAATTTCTTCTTCTTTCACAGAAGCAGCCGTCTGCCAAAATGACTTCCCTCGTTCTTGAGGCGACAAGGCCCTCGCCAGATCAGAAAGGGAGAGGAGAGGTGGTGGTGGGGATTGTTGGCACACAAAAGTAGAGCGAGAGAGAGAAAGAAGAGGGAAAGCTAAAGTAAACAAGGGCAGATGTTTTAAGTGTTCTTGGTGAGGTATCCAAAGCTGCCGTGACAGATATATCACATGTGCTGCGTTTCTCCTCCCGCCTATTCTCCTCCTTCGCTTCCAGAGCCCAGAGCTGGACCCTCGGAGACCAAACTCCCTCGCCTCAACATCAGCAGCAGCCCATCTGTCTCTCTCTCTCTTTCCCACACACACTCTCCCATGTGCCCCTTCTCGCTACAACACACAGTGTTTACATTACCTTCATCCAGCCTGCTGGGGGAAGAGGCGAGGAAACGAAAACACAACAGTGGGTTTCTCTCTGTATGATGAGTATTTATAGTACAAAAGAAGAGAAAGACAGACTGCTGGGACACATTCACTCCTTTCCTGCTGCCGTTATCCCATCTTGGACTGAGAGAAAGAACACATCATAAATATGTCAACATGTTGTGTAATTTATTCGTCTAAGTTTTAAAGCAGAAAAAAAAGAAAACACAATCTTAAATCAAGCAACTTTTTCAGGAGTGTTTAAGTGATCCCACTTACAAAGCCTTGTTCCAAGACAACAGTTGTGCACCCAGAGAATAACAACTTCAAACAAAAAAGAAGCAGACATTCAAAAAGATGAAATGGGCACTGCTTATAAAGGAAAATATCTTTATTATTCAGGGTTGTGCGTGTACATGCTGTGTATTTGTTGTTGTCTAAACCTCAAGATAAAAGCCACGAGACATGGGTCTCTGTAGCAGTGGAGGAGAATCCGAGATGAGGGTGAGAGCAGACGGGAAACGGAGGATCTTAAGGGAGCAGCTCGCTCACTGGGAGGTTACTACAAATGAAATCAAATGCACACGCTATAGACTCTTAAAATTTCTGTACATACATACATACTAACCTGCAAACAAACTTTTTTTTTAATACACTGAAACAGACACAGGCTTCCACTGTCAGATCCATGTGACATGAATGTGGGAGCTGGAACACAAGGCTTCTTCATCTGTAATATATTGTCGGTCCAATTCATCCAAGTGGTCATAGTCTGTAGTTTACTTCTGGGCTAACAGTCAAGCCAGGACATTTTGTACAAGTGCTGCATATTTTCAGTAGGTTGCCACTGCTGCATATTTCAAAGGATATTTGTACACCAGAATTTCAGTAAAGCTCCACTGATCATCTGTCTCTGAAAGCCAGCTAAAAAAGACATGAGTTGATATTTGAGGTAATACTTAGCTGGTATTGCTGATAAAGAATAGACTGGAGTTTCAGGTCTGGAATAAAGGATTGAACCTCACATTACTGTAACTATTCCTACCAATGTAGTGAGTCAACTTTTTAGGCATTTGCATTCCTTTATGGCAAATATAAGCTCGGCTAGGGCTGCAGATTGGAGGAGCACAGTCTATGAAGAGGACAGCCTTCATTCTGCCTGCATTTCCGTGGTCCCGTCCAGCAGTAGCCTGCGTAGTTCCTGGGGGTCAGTGACAGGAAGAGAACAGGTATAGTCCTGGCAGACGTAGGCCGTGGCGACACCGCCCTGTTGGGACATGGAGGAGAGGACAGGCAGACGCTGGCACAGGAAACTGTCTGCATCATCTTCAATGAGCATCAAGACCTGCCAGAGAGGGAAGGAGAGAAAAAATAGCAGATAAGGGTTGGGGGGGGGGGGGGTCAGTTTAACATGTCAAAAATAAACTTTCTTATTTTGCTTATTTGCCTTTACATATAGAGCCCTAAAACAGCTGAAAGGCAGAAAAGAGTTGTCAAATGAGACAAAAATAAAACGGATTAAACAAATAAATAAATTGCTAGTAAATAGAGTTTAAAAAATACACAGCTTTATACTTTTTTTGACCACCAGTTGATAAAATAAATCTAAACTTCATTTATTTTACTTTTAATTTATCATTAACTAGCTTGTTTTATTTTTCAAAAAAGTTAGTTGCTAACGCACATTACTGGTGTAGTGTTTAGTCTAAGTGTTAAGACTGGTTTATTTTACCTATGAGAAAAGATACATTAAGTCAGACACATCTACAACATGTTAATGATTTCACAACAGTGTGGCCCTTGATAAAAACAAGAAACATAAACTTAAGATGAAGATAATATCAGAGAGAGTATGGTATATCTAGCATTGTTAAGTACTGAATGCTTTAGCTGCAGTTGCAAAAGGTTATGCATCGATGCTACAGCAGTGATTGATTGGATTAACAGTACATGCATTGGCTAGTGTGGTTTAATTAAGAAAGTTAGCTGCAGCTAACTTAAAATACTGATATATTATGGAATACTGATATTAGCATAGGACAATTTGAAATGTTGTGTGGGTAATTTTCTTTAAAATGAAGTAGTTATTTAAATTATAAGATAAACAGATAGAGTCAAATAAGGTTCATGTATTTTATTCAACTGACTGATGGTGTTTTCTTGCCAGTTTTAGGGCTCCATACTATAAATCTGCTTTTGTTAGTTTAGTTTTCTACAGTTGTTTCTGTATGGACTAGCCAATATGCATGCATTTTGTTTCCACAGTCGCTGTAAGTAGAATGGAGATGCATTGCATTTATAATTTGCAGTTAATAAGCTAAATGGGTTTGTGGCTAGCTCTAGAGATGGTTTGAGGGACTGGATTGGATAGTTTGTTGTTTTTTTCCTCTATTCAGCAGTAGCTCAGTTACTAAAGCTATATCCACAGTATACGTTTTTGAAATGATCTCCGTCCACACCAGCATTTTAGCTGCAAGTGATCTCCATCCATAGTAAAACCGCTGAAAACGTCCCATTAACATACACTGGGTGTGTGCATGCCGGTGTAAACAGGAAGCAGACTGTCTACTCCGCAGTTGTAGAAGATTTGAGGATAGAAGAGTTGCTAGCAAAGACATCAAGCTCAGTAATGCTTGTAATTCCGTATCCAGGTTGCACTCACTACTGTTAGTCCAGACTGATGCTGTATGCTATCTTCCGGAAAGGGATCATGTGGCCATGACTGATGGCCACATCAGGAAGCCAAATGTGAGTGTCTATGTTATCGTCTCCAAAGTAAAATTCACATCTTGAAACGTTTTTTGGATCAGTGGAGCTTCTCAGAAAAGGAGCAACTCCCAACTGGGATAGTGATCATTTCTGTTTTTTAATACTATAACTTATACAAACACACATACACTTCACACAAACCAACACCTCAAAACTAAAAGAGAATGGTGTGTGGATGCATATGTTCACATCCAAATAACTCATTTAAATATGGGAAAAACTATTGACAGGTGTGTGAATGTGGCTAAAGGTGACAAAACAGAGGATGAGATTGCCTGTCTTTGAATCTGCTTATGTTGTTGTGTGTGTGTGTGTGTGTGTGTGTGTGTGTGTGTGTGTGTGTGTGTCGGTGCTCTTGGACAGGCAGCAGAGTGAAGTTAAAGAGGGCTGCCCTGTCTGTCCCTAAGGCAGCTTCCTGTCAAACACGTGTCATTTCCTCCTGGCCCCGCACCACCCGTGCTTCACAGTGGAGCGAGAGGGATGACAACATAAACATCGAGCACAGACAGAAGTGATAAAAGGAGGGAGAGGAGGGGGTAGACAGAAAGACAGAATGAGGGGAGGGGTCCGGTGATACATCTCGTCTCAGATGAAGTTCTGCCGGAGACGACTGACATGTATGTTGGCGTATGGTGGACTGAAGCTCAATCAGAACGCTTTAAAGGGTACGAAAATACTGATGACTGGAGGCTCGACTGATTATCAGATCCAGACACAATGCAGGACATGTCCATCATGTTAATACACCTTGCTGTATACACACTTTTAAAAAGCGATATGCCCTAATACTATATTCTAAACCTCAACATTTTGTCCACGTGTGAAGACAAACGAGAATTAACTCACTCAAATTTTTATGTTTTTATATTTATTTTTTATTTCTTCCGTCATCCGTTTGACACTGCCTGTCACAGCCGTTAAAAGAAATGGTTTAATTTTTCTTTGTATGTGAGGTTAAGTGAGCATATATTTTGGTTAGGGTTATATTTTGGTAGTTAAGTTTAATATGAATTTGTATATTATACTTTAGCAGGCATTTGTTTTTTTTATATTAAAGAGACTGGTCAGGTAATAGCCCTCATTTAGCTATTTGGGCGCAGGTAAGTTTCCAGGAAATGTTGGGAACAGAGGCCATGATCACAATTTAACCAATTTTTATGTCATAAATGATATTTCCAGATCATTGCTTTATTAGGTTAATTTTGAACAATGTCTGGAACATTTTTGAGTGGGTTAAATGAGTTATTGAGTTCAAATTCTGTGCCCCCAGCCTTTAATGTCGAAAAGCCAAATCAAGCAATCATTGTCGAACATGCAAAATGAACACATCTAAGCAAGACATGAATTTAATGGAAACATAATTATAGTCCGATCTACTCACCTGCTCTAATGATGGGGCAGTGATATTATAAGCCTGTTGAGACTGGTGATCTGCTGCAAACATTGCCCGGTTTATGTTAACGTGCTCATGGCTGGATTGGGAAACCCTGGGTTGACTTACCGAATTGGTAACCAGCGCTGTGCATAGGGCTGTCGCGATAACCACAAAATTGAAATACTGGTCAAGCCAACTGCAGAGGATGGCAAGCACCACAACAACCGCAATTCTCATATTATACACTTCAGGGCGTGTTAAATTAATAAATGAGTGCTTCAAAAGTTCCACAACCCAAACTCTGAAGCTGTAATTGTTGCCGTGTTTTGTGTTGTTTTACTGTTTATTTTAAAGGTTAGCTAACTTGCCGTTAGCATATTGCGTGGCTAATGTGGCTAGCACACTCGGCGATGTTGGACTAATGTTGTGATCCTGAGGGACAGTCCAGAGAAACTGTGGACAGTAAGCCTCATTTGAATCTCACTAACTAAGGAGCGTAGTGTGTCGGAAGCCTGGAGCTGTTTTTCATGTTGCTTTCTGTGGTGTTAATGTTACAACAACGCAGTGGTAAGTAGCAGACAGTCATTATGCTCCACACCGGCGCGTGTGTATGTGTATGCTGCTGTATGTAAATTGACTTTATAGACATGCCCTGAGGGTAATGATATAGCTACGTCTGAAAAAGACACGGTCAAACTACAAAAAGGAGTTTGCTTGGCAATGTTGTTAACTAGCACGCAGCAGCTAGCTTGCTCAGACCATAAAGCTTCTGTTAGCGGCTCACTGTGCAGTGAGGTGACAGATACAGACACTCTTACTCTGCTATATGGCAACAAATTACTTCATTGATGAAAAATGCGATAATACCACATACCACGCTGTTGAGCCCCAACATATTGCCGCGGTGGAAATTACTTCACCGCGACAGCCCTAGCTGTGCGACCGCTTAGCCTGATCGCGGTTTTTACGGCTAGTGAAGCCAGATAACAAAAAGATATCCTGGGTATCTTGAACTTACGCTTGTTTTTTCACCTGCTGTGTGGTCAGTACAGACTGAAATTATCTCATCAAAAAATTTCAAATGATATTATGTGGGTAAACGTGGGGCTCTAAGACACGTTAGTGTAAGTTCAAATTGTGACTTTTTGGTTACAAGTTTGGTCCTCAGCCTACCCAGTACAACTGCACCAAACCCATTCATACCAAGCCATGTACAGGTAGCTGGAAGAGACGGCAGTGTCAGGTACCCCTAAAGCCTTGAATATACTTCAAAGCGGAAGTGTACAAGGACAGCTGCGGACACCAAGGACATGGACTACTTTTGTTTATACTACTCTCTGGAGTCAATTTGGCGGACTCGTTCCACACATGCACAGTAGATCGGTTGGTGCCCTGGTAGAGTAGTGGGTCATAAAAAACGGGAGGCACGCAGCTGTCCGCACAGAGCCTAAGCATTACATTTTATTCAACACACGGACCCTCGCAGTCCCTTGCATACTCACAGATGAGGAAAGTATAACACTTGCTTAATTCTGTATGCTCCCGCCTTCACCCTGTTTCTAGCCTTGGCCATTAGACAACAATGTCCATTAGAGCAGACACTCCTCTGTGCCCTGCAGGACTGCCAACCAGCATTCACCCACGCCAACATGTAGAACTGTTTGCATCCTCTTCATCCTTCCTCAATGAGCCTCGTGTCCTCATTCAATGGGCGTCTCAATGCGCCCCAAGTGCTCCACTCCACCATTTAGATGCTCATTTGTGCCGGTTAGACATCTGCACTTCTAATGACAAAAAAAACTATCAATGGGTCCTGCTGCTTCTCTCCTGCCATTAAAGACCGTCTCCGGAGCGGTCTCTATTAGATCACTTCATCATCTCCTCCTTAGGGAATGCCGTCCTGTCTCATCTTATTCTCTACAGTGAGGCTGAAACACCTGTTAGACGCAGCTCAGGGTATACAAACTATGGATTCACACAGAGCGCTGTAGAGGGTTTGGCTGTAAACATTTTGGCATTAACATACACACACACACACAGGGGAAGACTTGCATGGAGTGTAATGGAATGTGGTCATAATGGTGTGACCGTTGCTATGGAGACAGGAGGAGGATTTCCCATCCAAGCTGAACCTTTTCCTCTCTGTACCGACTCTTCTTTGTGCTTGTCAGCTTCATGCAGTCACTCCCTGGGCCCTCCAC